CCAGCCGTGGCCTCCACACCCCTTCCTCTCCCCGGGCCGGTTGAGCAAGTGGACCCTAATAAGCCACTACTGCGGCCTGCTCTGGTCTGGGTGGGAAACAGGCGCCGGAGTGAGGCCCACAGACAGAGGCAGGCCCCAAACCGGAGCCCGGCGCCAGGGGCTGCGTGGGCGCGAGGAAGGGAACGCACCCCTGCGGCTGCAGGTGCCGCTGACGAAGTGCCGTAATGAGCGAGACTGTGGACTCCGGGGGCCACTGTGGACTTTGGGAGCAAGCACAAGCTGGAGTGAGGCCAGGACTGAGTCAGAGCAGACCCCACAGAGCCCACAGCAGGTCCAGAGACCTTCCTAGAAATACTGGAGGACTTTCTGGGTAGGTACATTGGCTGGTGCTCGCTGTGTGGACTGGACGATGGAGGACTCAGGAGGACATTCTTCATACTACCAGTCTGTCTCTATTTTTTGTATTGTTCTAATATGGTTCTTTATTATTCCTTTAGTTTTTATTTGTTTTACATTACATATTTTTAAGTATTTTTTTAAAAAATCACATACAGTTTAGTTTTTTTTTTAATTACATATATACAATGGAATATTACTCAGCTGTAAAAAAGAACAGATTCCAGTGAGGTGGATGAACCTAGAACCTGTTACACAGAGTGAAGAAAGTCAGAAAGAGAAATGCAAATATCATATATTATGCATACAAGGCCTGCTCTGGTCTGGGTGGGAAACAGGCGCCGGAGTGAGGCCCACAGACAGAGGCAGGCCCCACACCGGAGCCGGGCGCCAGGGGCTGCGTGCGCGCGAGGAAGGGAACGCACCCCTGCGGCTGCAGGTGCCGCTGACAAAGTGCCGTAATGAGCGAGACTGTGGACTCCGGGGGCCACTGTGGACTTTGGGAGCAAGCACAAGCTGGAGTGAGGCCAGGACTGAGTCAGAGCGGACCCCACAGAGCCCACAGCAGGTCCAGAGACCTTCCTAGAAATACTGGAGGACTTTCTGGGTAGGTACATTGGCTGGTGCTCGCTGTGTGGATTGGACAATGGAGGACTCAGGAGGACATTCTTCATACTACCAGTCTCTCTCTATTTTTTGTATTGTTCTAATATGGTTCTTTATTATTCCTTTAGTTTTTATTTGTTTTAAATTACATATTTTTAAGTATTTTTTTTAAAAATCACATACAGTTTAGTTTTTTTAAATTACATATATACAATGGAATATTACTCAGCTGTAAAAAAGAACAGATTCCAGTGAGGTGGATGAACCTAGAACCTGTTACACAGAGTGAAGAAAGTCAGAAAGAGAAAGGCAAATATCATATATTATGCATACATATGGAACCTATAAAAATGTTATTGATGAACCTATTTTCAGGGAAGGAATGGAGATGCATATATAGAGAACAGACTTGTGGACGCAGTAGGGGAAGGAATGACAGAGTGGAAGGAAGGGAGAAAATAGCACAGACCTAAGAGCAATACCAAGTGTAAATGAGCTAGCTGGTGAGAAGCTGCTACATAGCACAGGCCGCCCAGCCTGCTGCTCTGTGATGACCCAGAGGGGCGGGATGGGGAGACGGGAGGGAGGCTCCAGAGGGAGGAAATACATGCAAGGTTATGGCTGATATATGTTGTTATTGGCAGAAACCTTCCCTGGTGGCTCAGACGGTAAAGCGTCTGTCTGCAAAGCAGGAAGCCTGGCTTCGATCCCTGGGTCTGGAAGATCCCCTGGAGAAGGAAATGGAAACCCACTCCAGTATTCTTGCCTGGAAAATACCATGGATGGAGGAGCCTGGTAGGCTAGAGTCCATGGGGTCTCAAAGAGTTGGACATGACTGAGCAACTTCACTATGCCAGAAACCAACACAACATTATAAAGCAATTTTCCCTCCAATCAAAACATAAAAAAAAGATTGAAAAACAAAAGACCTACAATGGCCTAAAACCATTTAAGAGCTGATCTGTAATAGAATCAACATAATAAAATTCAACATAATAAAGGCCACTTATTAAAAAAAAACATAGATAACATGATACTCAATAGTGAAAGACTGAATTTATTTTCCTTAAGTCAGGAGCAATACTGGATGTTCATATTTGTCACTTCAATCAATACAACAAAATATTTTAACTTATTTTTCTTGCCTAGCGAGAGCAGTGATAAGAGAAAAAAAATAAAAATCATCCAAACTGAGAAAGAAGAAATAAAACTCTCTCTGTTTCAGATTATGTACTCTTTTAAATGGAAAACTCTAAAGATTATGCATGCTCACACACCAACACACACACACACACACACATATACAGAAACCTATTAAATAGAATTAATAAATTAATTCAACAAAGTCAGAGATTACAAAATCAACAAAGATCAGCTGCCTTTCTATACACTACCAATGAACAGTCTAAAGAGAAAATTTAAAAAGCCAACTCCACACACAGTAGCAGCAAAGAGGATAAAGTACTTAGGAATAAACATTAACTAAGGAAGTAAAAGACTTGTTCCCTGAAAACCACAAAGCACTGCATAAAGAAACTGAAGAAGACATAAGAAAATGAAAGGACATCCTGCATTCATGGATTGAAAGATAATATTGTTAAGATGTCAATACCACACAAAGCAATCCACAGATTAAATGCAGTCCTTTGACTATATTGAAAATGTGTTCTGCGAAATAGACAAATTAAACCTAATATGGGATCTGAAGGGAGTAATCTTAATAAAGAAATGGAAAGATGAGAGGACTCACATTTCCCAATTCCAAAACTTACTAAAAAGCTACAATAAGGATATACTGTACACCACAAGGAAATATAGTTATTATTTTGTAATAGCTTTACCTGGAGTTAAACTTTAAAAATATTGAATCTCTATGTTTGGAAATAATATAATATTGTAAAACAACTATATTTCTATTAAAAAAAAATAAAAGAGCAGAGAGACCAGAAATAAAGTTTCACTTATATGGTCAAATGATTGTTCACAAGGATTCTAAGGACATTTAATGGGGAATGGACAATCTTTTCAACAAATGATTCTTGGAAAATTGGATATCCATGTGCAAAAGAATGAATTTTGACACCTACCTTACACCATACACAAAAATTAATTTAAAAGATCAGGAACTAAACTTAAGGCCTAGGGAAGTTGCTGAGTCAGTGGAGTAGAAAGACTGAGTTTGCATCCTTCCTTGGGCACATGAACATCACCACTATTTATAGAACAACAATGGATGAGAATGACAAAATGAATTACTTCTCAGAATGAAGATATGCATACTTTCCAAACTATGCTATTCTATTTCTGGGAAGTTAACCTAAATATATATTTATGCAAGTACATTCGAATGTATGCATAAGAATGTGTACTATGGCTCTATATTACATAGCAGAAACCCTGGAAATTAACAAATAATAAATCATAGAAATTATGTGTTCAGAATAAGTTTACAAATCTTAAAAGAATACCATCCACATAGTATCATATTACATAATTTATATTCTTAGTTGTCACTTCATATTTGTCCCAATTTTTTCACATTCACATAATTAGATCTACCTTATCAACATTATGTGTCACTAATGATGCTCTTCATACTCTCTTACTGATAAAAAATGACTGAAAACCTCACAAGGAACTTTGATTTATGATATTTAAAACAAAATCCCTATAGTTTATCACCTCTATAAACTTGTCCTCACAATTCTGTTACTTCCAATGCTAAACTGAATACATGTTTTAGAAATTCTTTGAGATGCTTATGGTCAACTCTCAAAAGAGCGCATCAGTAAGCGTAACATACTACAGTGCATATTCCCCCTAGGACCATATGAGCAAACACGCGTAAGTCAATGAGTGTAGACTTCTTCTGCAATCTTTATGTATCATCCATGGACATTGCTTTCTCCACAGAGCTTCACGGCAACGCCCAAGGTACTGGAGGAGGTTACAGAGTGGCTGGTTTACAGGAATTATAAAAAGGCGCTCTAATTACCATGCTAATATGAACAATTCCCCTCAATCCTTAAAATTATATGACAATAGGAAGTAAACAACTTGGAAGCCAGTGATGGACATTTGCTTGAGTCACTCAAACAGTGAGAAACTGGAAACCACAGAAATGATGTTACTTGAGTAAGCAGAGCGGTCTGCTCAGGCTCATTCTATTGCCACTGTTCTATCGAAGAAGAGGAAGCCAAAGATAACAGCCTGGACTCAGGAAGACAATTCCTTTCACCATATCAAAATAGCCTCTCAAGCCTTAGGCAGAGCAGCTGCTCAGGAGACCCTGCCAGAGACCCTGCATTTCATTTCCACAAATCAGGACTTTGGATGCCCTTCCATTGTTACACAATTCCCTTTCTGCTGCCAAAAAAATAAAAGCCAATAAAGAGAAAAAAATTATTGTATGAGGTGGTTAGGTTGGGATGGGGAGTAGAAACACAAATCTTGTTCTAGAGACAGTAGAAATTTCCCAGTTAAAATTGTACTCTATAAAAAGAACCAAACTGGTCGTTGGCAGGAAAATGAAACACATTCCTGAACCCGGATGATACCCTGTACAGGTGTCAACAGATCACTTTTAAAATGAATAAATTATCAATGTTGATGACACAGAAAACATACATATTAAAAAACAGAAGCTGTGGACCTTAATTGATATTAATTTCTACATTAATATTGACTCCAATGAAACTGTAAATTAGGTGAGCTACCTTTAAGAGCTTTCTAGACACCAGACACTGTGCTAAGTACTTTAAATGCATCCCACTGTTAACTTTAATATCACACAGCGAGGAAGGCATTCAATCATGATACATGTACGTAAACAAGTTTACATAAATAACCTAAGTTTACACACCTGTTTATATCTGTGGACTATGACCTATAATTTTAGATTCACTAAGTATAATAGCAAAAATGGCTATAAATACATTCTTCCTCCTTTTATTACCAAAAGTTCTAGTGAGTGTAAATCACCAGACTTTTAAAGGATTTTAAAAAATCACAAGGAATTTAAAGGATATTGACAAATATAAGCAGGACTTTGTGAAACCTGAGGCACTGGAAGTTGTAGACACCATAGTGGTAGCAATTGCTTCTGGAAAACAAACAAACAAAAAATATATGTAAACTCATTTAATTACTTGGGATTTATTGCTTCCTACTAATATTCACTTATATGAATTGCCCTTTTCATGCTTATTTAGGTAAAAGTGCACATGTTTTAATCCGGGCTTCCCTGGTGGCTCAGATGGTTAAAAAAATCTGCTTGTAATGCAAACCCAGGTTCACTCCTTGGATCAGAAAGATCCACTACAGAAGAGAATGGCAACCCACTCTTGTATTCTCACTTGGAGTATTTCATGGACGGAGGAGCCTGGTGGGCTACAGTCTATCATGGGGTTGCAAAAAGTTGGACACAACTGAGTTACTAACACTTTAATTTACACTAAAAAATCTTTGCTATCCATTTTACATGTAAAGATGTTGAACAAGAGAAATTGATGCATCCGTGTGATGTATGCAGCATGCTAAGAGTCTATAAAAGGAAAATCAAAACAAGTTTCTTTGTGAATTAGAAGTCAAACATGTAACATGGAAATGAATACAAGACAGACATAAGTACTAAAACTGTTCCTTTCCAATTGCTCTATATCATTGAAATCTATTGTGGAAAAAATAAAACTTTTTAAAAAAGAAAAAGGAAACAGACGCCTTCATACCTTTAGTACACTTTGGTAGCTCGGGCTCCCAGGTACCGTTTGCACCGCAGACAACTGTGCTGTTCCCGTGAAGGTAAAAACCATCATGACACTGAAATACAACTTGGGCATTGTAGTAATATTTTCTTCTAACTCCTGATGCTATTGCCGCATATTCGACGATTGGATAGTCACATTTGACCACTGAAAAGTGGAGAAATTCCATAATTACTGAAAGCCTGCTTTCATATAAGACCAAATATCTAGTGCAAATAATAACTTCCAGTAGAAAGGAAGAAATGAGGAATGAAAGGCAAGATGTTAATTGAAAATAAATAAATAAAACAACACAAGACTCTGTGCCTTTGAATTCCAGGGAAACAGATGTAGGGAAATCTAATAATGTTTTTCTACCAAAATAGTCTATCATAATAGTTCTTGTCTTTCCTACCTTGTTTTCCAGTATTGACATGTATTGGAAAAGGTCTGACTACCAGATACAAACATAGGGTAAGTTCAAAACTGACTTTTGATGCTCTTTAATGCTAGGATTTTTTTTCAGGTCATGCTGACACTAATTACAGCACCATGTTCTTTTAGAAAGGTAGTAAAGAGTTTTTTGAGAAGGTAATAATACTTGAGTACAAATTTAAAAGTTGAAAAGAAGTTAGCCATTGGGGGAAAAAAAGGAAATAGAAAGTTCTCAGGTGGTAACAATATACAGGAACTGGGATGTTCAAGAAATACAAAGGTCAGTGGAGTTAGGGCAGTGTTTTCCAAACATTTTGGATTGTAAACCCAGAGATCAACATGTTTTAAGTTTTAAAACACATTTTAAGTGTTAAATCAGTATGAAGCACATACGCCTGAGATAATGCTAGAAGTTAATATTTAGCATTCACAACAGTGTACTGTAGTAGATTCCATTCTACTCTACTTCTCCAGAAGTAAACTAAAGGTCAGGGCCCTCTAGATTGACTTCAGATCTACTAATGGGTTTTGCAGAATTTGGAAACAAAACCAATTCGAAAAAACACTGGGCAGGGCAGTGAGTTCAAGAGAACATTTTATGAGATTAATCCAAACAACAGGTGAGGGCCAGAAATATAGCCTTTTAGTATATGTGCTGCTGAAGCGAGCACAGAAATATAGCCTTTTAAACCAGAAATATGTTTTCTCCTTTCCTGTGGATCTGAATTTTCATTAGGTATAATTTTTGTTCAGCCAGGAGAACTTATCAATTCTTTTAGTTCAGGTTGTCTAACAACAAATTCTCTTAGCTCTTCTTTATCTGAAACTATTTTCATTTATTTTAGCTTCAGTTTTGAAAGATTTCTCCATGAGAGGGAATTCTAGGATAAGTGTTTTATCTTTCTTTCAGCACATTAGCAGAAGTTATTGTCTTCTGTTCTTCACAGTTTCTTGAGAGAAGTCAGCTATTACTCTTTCTTTGAGGTGAGGAAGAAAGAATGTAATATGCTCTTTTCCCCTCTTACAGGCAGCTTTTTCCTTTAGTTTTTAGTCTAATGAGGATTCTTCGGTAAATTTTCAAAAGTTATTTATCCTGCTAGGGTCAATGAATTCCCTGGAGTGGATCTCTGGGGTGAATGTTGTGGATCAAATTCAAATAATAGAGAATAAAATAAATAGCGAATAAAAAATCAATAGAGAACAAACTCATGGGTACCAGAGGGAAAACAGGGGTGGGACGAACTGGGAGATTGGGATTGACATATATACTCTACTAAGTATACACTAGATAACTAATGAGAAACTCCTGTATAGCAAAGGGAACTCTCAATGCTCTGGGTGATGTAAATGGGAAGAATATCTAAATAATAGTGGACATATATGTGTATACACACACACACACACATATATCTGATTCACATTGCCATGTAGTAGAAACTAACACAACATTGTAAAGCGACTATACCCCAATATAAAACAGACAGATAAATAATTGTCTATACTGTCCTTTTCCTATGACACTCCAATTACATGTACATTTACTGGTTCCACAGGTGTACAAGTTTCTCTCTCTCGTGTAATATTTCTTTTGAAATCATGTTACATTTGTATTGTATTGACTTCAGGTTCACTGATCTTTTCTCTGTTGTGCTACACTGCTAATACTTGTGCTAATGATTTTCTTTAAGTTAGGTTTCAGTTCAGTTCGGTCGCTCAGTCATGTCCAACTCTGTGACTCCTTGGACTGCAGCATGCCAAGCTTCCCTGTCCATCACCAATTCCCAGAGCTTACTCAAACTAACTCATGTCCATCGAATTGGTGATGCCATCCAACCATCTCATCCTCTGTCGTCCCCTTCTCCTCCTGCCCCCAATCCCTCCCAGAATCAGGATCTTTTCCAATGAGTCAACTCTTTGCATGAGGTGGCCAAAGTATTGGAGTTTCAGCTTCAGCATCAGTCCTTCCAATGAACACCCAGGGCTGATCTCTTTTAGGATGGACTGGTTGGATCTCCTTGCAGTCCAAGGGACTCTCAAGAGTCTTCTCCAACACCACAGTTCAAAAGCATCAATTCTTCAGNNNNTGAGATGGTTGGATGGCATCACCGACTCGATGGACATGAGTTTGAGTGAACTCCGGGAGTTGGTGATGGACAGGGAGGCCTGGCATGCTGCGGTTCATGGGGTCGCAAAGACTCGGACACAACTGAGCAACTGAACTGAAATGCAGAAAGGCCAAATGGCGTCTGAGGAGGCCTTACAAATAGCTAAGGAAAAAAGAAGAGAAGCGAAAGGCAAAAAGAAAAGGGAAAAGAGAAAAGGAAAGATATACCCATCTGAATGCAGAGTTCCAAAGAAAAGCAAGGAGAGATGAGAGCCTTCTTCAGTGATCAATGCAAATAAATAGAGGAAAACAATAGAATGGGAAAGACTAGAGATCTCTTCAAGAAAATTAGAGATACCAAGGGAACACTTCATGCAAAGATGGGCACAATAAAGGACAGAAACAGTATGAACCCAACTGAAGCAGAAGATGTTAAGAAGAGGTGACCAAAAAAAAAAAAGAGGAGGTGACAAAAAGACACAGAAGAATTATACAAAAAAGATATTAATGACCCAGATAGCCATGATAGTGTGATCACTCACCTAGAGCCAGTGTGAAGTCAAGTGGGCCTTAGGAAGCATCGCTGTGACAAGCTAGTGGAGGTGATGGAATTCCAGCTGAGCTATTTAAATCCTAAAAGATGGATGCTGTTAAAATGCTGCACTCAATATGCTAGGAAATTTTGAAAACTCAGCAGTGGCCACAGAACTGTAAGAGGTCAGTTTTCATTTCAATCCCAAAGAAAGGCAATGCCATGGCATTTCACATGCTAGCAAATTCAGTTGCTCAGTCATGTCCAGCTTCAAAGTAGTGCTCAAAATTGTCCAAGCCAGGTTTCAGCGGTATGTGAACCGAGAACGTTTGGATGTTCAAGCTGGATTTAGAAAAGGCAGAGGTACCAGAGAGGAAATTGGCAACATCCGTTGGCTCATATAAAAAGTAAGAGAATTACAGAAAAACAACTACTACTGCTTCATTGACTACGCTAAAGCCTTTGACTGCGTGGATCACAACAAACTGTGGGAAATTCTTAGAGAGATGGGAATACCAGACAACCTTACTTGCCTCCTGAGAAACCTGTATGTGGGTCAAGAAGCCACAGTTAGAACCAGACATGGAACAATGGACTGGTTCAAAATTGGCAAAGGAGTACATCAAGGCTGTATATTTGTCACCCTGCTTATTTAACTTCTGTGCAGAGTACATTGTGAGGAATGCTGTGCTGGGTGAAGTAGAAGCTGGAATCTGGGTTGCTGGAGGAAATATCAGTAACTTCACATATGCAGATGACACCACCCTTGCGACAGAAAGTGAAGAGGAACTAAATAGCCTCTTGATGAAGGTGTAAGAGGAGAGTGAAAAAGTTGTCTTAAAACTCGACATTGAAAAAATGAAGATCATGACATCTGGTCCTATCACTTCATGGCAAATAGATGGGGAAACAATGGAAACAGTGACAGACTTTGCTTTCTTGGGTTCTGAAATCTCTGCAGATGGTGACTACAGCTATGAAATTAAGACACTTGCTCCTTGGAAGAAAAGTTATGACAAACCTGCTGCTGCTGCTAAGTCACTTTATTCGTGTCTGACTCTGTGCGACACCATAGACGGCAGCCCATCAGGCTCTTCTGTTCCTGGGATTCTCCAGGCAAGAATACTGGAATGGGTTGCCATTTCCTTCTCCAGTGCACTCATGCATGCTAAGTTGCTTCAGTTGTGTCCAACTCTGTGTGACCCTGTGGACAGCAGCCCACCAGGCTCCTCTGTCCACGGGATTCTCTATGCAAGAATACTGGAGTGGGTTGCCATTTCCTTCTCCAATGACAAACCTAGACAGTGTTAAAAAGCAGAGACGTTACTTTGCCAACAAAGGTCCGTCTAGTCAAAGGTATGGTTTTTCCAGTAGTCATGTATGGATGTGAGAGTTGGACCATAAAGAAGGCTGAGCACCAAAGAATTATGCTTTTGAACTGTATGGTGTTGGAAGAGACTCCTGAGAATCCTTTGGACAGCAAAGAGATCAAACCAGTCACCCTAAAAGAACTCAGTCTTGAATATTCATTAGAAGGACTGATGCTGAAGCTGAAGCTCAATACTTTGGCCACCTGATGCAAAGTGCCGGCTCATTGGAAACAACCCTGATGCTCAGAAACATTGAAGGCAGGACGAATAGGGGACGGATGACAGAGGACAAGATGATTGAATAGCATCACTGACTCAACGGACATGAGTCTCAGCAAGCTCTGGAAGATGGTGAAGGACAGGGAAGCCCAGTGCGCTGCAGTCTCATGGGGTCTCAAAGTCGGACACAACTGAGGGGCAGCAATAGTGTTGCTTTTCCAGAATGTCATATGGAATCACATCCTCTGAGTTTGACTTACTTTACTTAGGACAATGCATTTGAGATTCATTCCTGTTGTCTGAATTAAAAGCTCATCATCCTTTCCTGCAGAGTATTATAATTATATGCATGTACCAGTGATGTTCCTCCATTTACCAGTTCAAGGACATATGAGTTGTTTCCAGTATAGGATGATTATGACTAAGGATATTATGAATATTCTCATATCAGATTTTATATGTACATGTTTTCATTTTACCCTGGGTAGCTGAATTGTACCTTAAGTGTATGTTTAATTGTATGTGTAGTTGCTAAATTGTGTTCCAAATGATATCACTTGCATTCTTATCAGCAGTGTTATCAGAGTCCCAAATATAACATATCCTCACCAAAACATGGAATTGTTATTTTTTTCTTTTTAATTTCATGCATTCGAATAAGTTCTTAGTGGTTTCTATCATGGTTTTAAACTACATTTCTGTTATTACTAATGATATTGAGCAATGTTTCCTGTAATTTTTTTAACATCCACATTCTTCTTCAGTGGGAAAAATTCTATCCAAATATGTTACCCCTTTTTGTGTCAACTGGGCTGCTTTCTTCTTATTGTGTTTTGAAAGTTCTTTATACATCATAGCTAGAAGTCCATTCAGAAATGTTCCTGACAAATATTTTCTCCCAGTCTATGACAAGTTTTTTCTTTCTTCAAATAGTGTCTTTGAGAGAAGTTCTCAGTTTTTAAGAAATCCAGTCTTTTTTTTTGTTGTTGTTTTATGTTTTTTTTCTTTAAAGAATAATGCTTTTAAAGTTTTTGAAGAAATCTCTGCTAACTCACAAATATTTTCTGTCTTCTCATAAGTCTTACAGTTTAGGTTTTACATTTGAATCTGTGGTCCAACATCTCTTCCAGTCATGATAGTATGAAAATACAAATCAACTACCAGAAGAAAAATGGCTAAAAAACAAATGGAGACCAAAAAAACATGTTACCAAATGATCAGTAGTTCACTGAAGAAATTAAAAAGGAAATAAAAGATATCTTAAGACTAACGAAAATAGAAACAATTCATTCCAAATCTATGTAACACAGGAAAAACAGTTCTAAGACATAAGTTTGTAGCCATACAGGCCTACCTTAAGAACAAGAATAATCTCAAGTAAACAATCTAAATTTACACCTATATATAAAAAATAGAACAACCATCTCTGCAAGTTTGTGGAAGGTTAAAATAATAAAGAAAAGAGTGGAAATAAATGAAATTGAGACTGAAAATCAATGAAAATAAGAGCTGGCTCGTTGAAAAGATAGAATTGACAAACATATAGCCATACTCATCAAGAAACAAAAGAAAGGATCCAAAAAAATGAAAAATAAAAGAGAAGTTACTATCAATACCACAGAAATACAAAGGATCATAAAAGAGTACTATGAATAATTATATATTCAAAATTGGAAAACCTGGAATAAATGGATAAGTTCCTAAAAACATATTATCTGCCAACGCTAAGTCAAGAAGAAATAGAAAATGCTGCTGCTGCTGCTGCTGCGTCGCTTCAGTCGTGTCCGACTCTGTGCAACCCCATAGACGGCAGCCCACCAGGCTCCCCCGTCCCTGGGATTCTCCAGGCAAGAACACTGGAGTGGGTTGCCATTTCCTTCTCCAATGCTTGAAAGTGAAAAGTGAAAGTGAAGTCGCTCAGTCGCGTCCAACTCGTAATGATCCCATGGTCTGCAGCCCACCAGGCTCCCTGCCCATCGGATTTTCCGGACAAGAGTACTGGAGTGGGTTGCCATTGCCTTCTCCAAATAGAAAATGGGGATAGAGCAATTACTAGTAATGAAATTGAATTAGTAAATAATTTCCAGTAAACAAAATCTAGGACTCCGTGGGTTCACAGATGAATTCTATTACACATTTAAAGAATAGCTAGATTTTGCTTCAAAGGATACTGTATAGGAATAAATAAAATGAACCATAGACTGAGGGAAATAGAACTACCATATGATCAGCAATTTTACTTCTGGGTGTTAACCCAAAGAAAACAAAACACTAATTAGAAAAGATTTGTGCAGCCCTTTTCTCATTATAGCATTTTTTTTTTTGCAGTACCTAAGATATGAAAGCAACCTAAGTGTCCTGATAGAATAATGAATAAAGAAGATATGGTACATATAAAATGGAATATTACCTAGTCATAAAAAGAATGAAATCTTGCCATTTGCGACAGCATTGATGGATATAGTGGGAATTATGCAACGTGAAATAAGTCAGTCAGAGAAACACCATGTGATTTCAGTTATATGTAGGATCTACAAAATAAAACAAATAAACTAATAAAACAAAAAGGAAACAAATTCGTGAATACAGAGACCTAGTGATTGGCAGAGAGCAGGTGGCTGGAAAGAGGAGGAAAATAAGGGGATTAAAATGCAAAATCTTCTAGTTATAAAATAAATAAGTTATGAGGTTATGATACACAGACTAGACAATACAGTCAACAATTCTGTACTTATTTTACATGGTGACAGATGGGAACTAGACATCATGGTGATCATCTTGTTATGTATGTAAATGTGGAATCATTATGTTGTACACCTGGTTTTTGCATCAGGGCAATGCTGTCCTTGAAATGAACTGTGAAAGATTCTCTGCTCTTGTATTTTTTTAAGGCTTTGGGTTTGTGTGTGTGCATGCTAAGTCATTTCAGTCGTGTCCAACTCTTTGTGACCCCACAGACTGGAGCCCCCCAGGCCCCTCTGTCCATGGGATTCTCCAGGCAAGAATACTAGAGTGAGTTGCCATGCCCTCCTCAAGAGGATCCGCCCAACCCAAGGATGGAACCCATGGCCCCTGAGGCTTCTGCATTGCAGGCGGATTCTCTACTGCTGAGCCTCGGGGAGGCCCAGGGGCTTTGTGTAGAACTGCCATTATTTACGGCTTAAATGTTTGGTAGAGTTCACCAGTAAGGATACATGGTTTGCAGTACTCTTTGTGAGAAGGTTTAAGTTGTCAAATTTATAGGCATATGGTAGTTTGTTTTTTTCCTTATTATTCTTTAAACGTCTATAGGATATTTTATGATGTTCTCCTTTTCAATCTTGATATTGGTGATTTTATCTTTGTTTTCCTGTCAGGCTGTCTATGGATTTATCTATTTTATCCATATTCTCCAAAAACCAGGCTGATTTCTTTGATTATCTCTGTTTTGTTTCTCTTCTCAATTTCATGGCTCTCCAATTTTATTATTTCCTTTTGTTTTCTTGTTGTAGATTTAATTTGCTCTTCTTTTTAAATTTCTAATGGTAGAAGCATAGATGACTGATTTGAGACTTTTCTGTTTTTCCAACATAAGTATTTCACGTTATAAAGATCCCCTGAGCAAAACTTTTGCAAAACTTTTGCTGTATCCCACAAATTTTTATATATTAATATACCAAATTTTAGTTTTTAATCAATTAAAAACGGTTTCTATTTCCCTTGTGACTGCTTCTTTGACTCATGGGTTATTTAAAAGTGTCTTACACACTTTTTAAGTATTTGGTTTGATTTCTACATTCATCCCATTGTGATCAGATCATTGTACTGGTACTAGTTTCAATATTTTGGAAATAAATATGTTAAAAATATTACCTAAAAATGATATTACAGAATGTCCCATGTACACTGGGAGAAAATAAATATTTTGCTATCATTCACTGGATCCTTTGTCAGGAGTCACATCCCCTCCAGTGTCTCCCCACTTTTAGTTAACGTGAAGTTGTTAAAATAAGCTTTGTCCAGAGTTTAACAATCTTATCAGTGAGAAGGTTAGTCTTTTAATGTTCCTGTAGCCCAAACTCTCAGAGATCTTATATTACAAGATAAAACTTTCTTATTTCTTAAGCTGCAGTGTGTTGAGTTTTCCGATGCTTGCAAACAAACAGCAATAACAACAACAATAAAAAATCCAAAAGTTCTAGCTCATGCATATACACAGTAGTTCATGATGTGTAAGTTGAAATGCCAAGAACATGTTGAGTGACTGGTTGGGAAGTCTACAATTATAACTCTTTTAATATGATTTGAGCAATATTAAATTAAATTAGAAGTCAGTTTAGCAGGAGGATCAAGTACACAGGAATCTTTTGTTTACTTGGAGATAAAAATATTTTTGAAGTGTTTCCACAGTATTTAGATTCAGGAGGAAATACATGGAAATATTATTACCTTTACACTCTGGCGGGGCACTGCTCCATCTGTTATGATCAACACAAATAAGGGTGGTTTCTCCAATAAGAGAATATTCATCTGGTCCATTTGAAGGATTACACCTATACATTACTACTTCACTGTATTGATATACTTCCTTATAAACGGTGAATCTTCCATTTGTTATATTTCCAGGTGCTGCACACACAATTACTTAAAAAGGGAGGAAAAAGGACATGAAGTAAAAGCAAAATATTAAGACAGCATTAGCAAAGTCCTATGAACTGCCTTCATATAATTCATTAACATACAATTAATATACCCCAGTTGTGAATTCAATATCCATTTAGAAGAACGCCTCTATGTGAATATGTATTATCCCAAATTCAAGCCATTAATATAGAAAAAACTTATTTTCTGAAATATGAAATACATATTTATCTGCAAGGCCATGCTAAGTTTTGCTCTTATCATCATGAAAGATGCTGACAATTTAATGCTAAAATATACTTGTGATTAAAAAGTTAACTCAGTGCTAGTTGAAAAATACTTTATGGTTTATAAATATCTCCATTCACAAATTGGTTGTTCACATTAATACTGAGTATTACTGTCATTTTTCACTTTCATTCTAATGACGTATGGTTAAATTTTTCATATACAACTGGTTGATTTTCCAGTAGACTAGATCCAAATGTGTTCCTTTAAACCAGATATTGAAGTAACTTGCAAAAATATAAAACAATGACACAATTCCCACTATTTGTTTTGGAAATTTTTGACTTTTCATAAAAATATGTTGCATATATTTATATGTATTGCAGCTAACACTTCTTAAAAATGAATTAATATTATTTTTAAAACTTTTCATTTTAATTGCAATATAATAAATATCTATAGATATAACCCATATGAAGAGAATTTCTTTGGTGTCGATGTTAATTTAAAAGCATAAAGAGGTCATAAAGTTTGAGAACTGCTGCTCTATATTCTAAAGAGAAGACATACTTACTTTCACAAATTGGGAGATTATCACTCCAGGCCACATTATCTCCAGAAATTTCACAATATAGAATTTTTGCTCCAATCAGATAAAAACTAAATGAGAGAAAAAAGTTAGCATGTCCTTTAAGCAATTGCAATATGTATATAATAATCAAAAATGTTTCATATGATGGTTTGTCTGTACTATAGTAATTTGAGTGAGAAATTTCTTAATATAATGGATGTCCTAAAGCTGCAACTCAATCAAACAAAGAGTTTCTGCATGTGGACCCACTTTGGCCTACAGTAAAATGTGCAAATTACTGTCACGCTTATCAGTGTACCCCTCTGCTCCCTCTGGCACGTGTATCACACACTGACTTCTACTCTTTGCTCACACCATTTTGCTCAGTAAGGACTGAGCAGAGATCAGGGCCCTAGAACTTGCCTGCCTGGATTCAAGTTCTAGCTCCATGACTGGCTTGAGCTTGGGAAATCCCTTGCTGCTGCTGCTAAGTCGCTTCAGTTGTGCCCAACTCCGTGCGACCCTATGGACAGCAGTCCACCAGGCTCCTCTGTCCACGGGATTCTCTAGGCAAGAACACTGGAGTGGGTTGCCATTTCCTTCTCCGGGAAATCCCTTAATGCTTCCTTAATGCTTCCCCTACATAACTTATGGGATTGTTCTGAGGATCGGATGAGTTAGTCTCTGGCACATAGTGAGTACTAGGTAAATTTTAACTCTTATTAATATTTTTTAGACTAGAATACAAACCCACCTCATTTTATTGCTCTTAACTTTTTGAGATTTTTAACAAACTGAAGGTGTGTGGCAACCCTGCATCAAGCAAGTTTATTTGTGCCACTTTCCCAACAATGTTTCCTCACTTTATTTCTCTTGACACATTTTGATAAATATCACATATTTCAAACTTTATTACTACATTTGTTGTGGTCATTTGTGATCAATGCTATTTAATGTTACTACTATGACTCACTGAAGGTTCAGATTATGACCATTCCCTTCTCCAGGGGATCTTCCCAACCCAGGGATTGAACCTGGGTCTCCCACATTTCAGGCAGATTCTTTACCATCTGAGTTACCAGGGAAGCCCTAACAATTTTTGGCAATATGCCATTTTAAAATTAAGGTATGTATATTTTTTAGACATAATTCCATTACATACTTAGTAGACTATGATATAGTATAAACATATGTAAAAAATTCATTTGACTTGTGCTATTGCAGTGGTCTGGAACTGAACCTGTAATATCTCCGAGGTATGTCTTCACCTACCTAGGATTAGCACAGGAATACTCTTACTTGATGATATCTTCTCTGATGATTTAAATTCACAATACACTCTCCTCCTTCTGGAAGTTCACTGTAATGACTGTGAGTAATTCTATATATTTTACACTTCTTCTCACTTACTATTATGCTTTGATGCCTCTCTGTATATGTTGTTTTTCTCAAGAAGGATACAACCTCTTTAGGAAGAATCTATGTACTAAACTTTAGGCATTCCTCAAACTACCTAGTAGGGTCTCTCTATATAAATACTCACTGAATGTTCCATTATTTCTAATTGATTAAGTTAAATATACCCTATCTGCTTCCAGCTGACTTTTCTACAAGACTCACTCATTGATTCTAGATTATAATGTGTATTTCTGGTATGATGGCAATTTAAGAGGCATCAGGAATCTGTCTCCCCACCTTGATAACAATTGCATAGGTAGAATCTGCCTGCTGTCACTATTTTGGAACTCTGACTTCTCTTGATGGTTTACAATGTCCCGGTGAAGACTTAGGTAAATTGGCTTATTTTGGTCTATTTCAACTCTTACCTTAGCACAGTGGTAGCTACCCATCCTCACCCATAGCAGTGCGGCAGGGATCTCTGCATGTGTTCGCAGAGCAGCTTACAAGTTGCTTGTGGGAGCCAAGGTGTTCAAAAAAGACCCTGTCCTCCAAATATGAGGATCTGTGTTCTTATCACTGATAGCTGCTTCTGATCACAGATAATCAGACAAAGAAACAGGTAGCCATTCTTGACACACCTCCCTCTATCCTTGTAATCCCCTTCTGCCCTGGATGAAGTAACTTCAAGGGGCTTTACATATCAAGTGCCCTTTCTTCCCCACTTCATCTTCAGTTTTTCCCCTTATAGGGGCCAGACATTAAATACTAGGACATTCCAAAGCAACTGCACATGCAGGAAAATCAGAAAGTGATAGTGTATGGCTCAGGAAGACCTGAAATATTTTTCAGTTTGTACATCAGGCTGATATTCAGCACAGAGCCATTAATCAACAATTAAAAAAAAATCCACCTTGCATTTGGTGCTTTGCCTGTGGTATAGCATCATTGAGAACTTCCTTCTGCAAGGTTGTCCCAAAATATATTCTACAAATAATTTCCCACAAGTGTATGCTCACCTAAATCTTCATGCTGCCAACTGCCACAAGAACAAATGTGGCCATACCAACAAACTGCCTCCAGAAGGAGGTCAAATAATGGCTTTCATTGGCGCCTGCTTTGTCTTCACAGAGGCCTCCTGCCTGACCCCCCATGGGTAGGCCCTCAGTAATATTTGAAAAGCAAAAACAAAATGACTGGCTTAAAGATGTCTAAAGAACTAAAGGAAGAAATCATGAAGTCAAGAGAACACGTGTGAAACATGGAAATCTCAAACAGGAGGCAGAAGAACTAGAAAGAAACCTCAAGGAACTTCTGGAGTTGAAAAGTACAATAACAGACTTTAAAAATCCATGGGAGGCACATTTGAGCAAAAAGAAGAAAGGATCAGAGAACTTGGAAGCAGGATAATGGAAATTAGTGTCTCTGAGGAACACAAAGAGAAAAGACTAAAGAAAAATGAACAGAGCCTAAGAAATCTTTGGAACTGCGGAACACCAACAGATCTACCAACATATACAATGTAGGACTCTCAGAAGGAGGCAGTGCAGAGAAGAGAGCAGAGAGAATGTCTGAAAAAATAATGGCAGAAAACTATCCAAATTTGACTAAAGACGTGAATATAAACATGACAAAACCTCAATGCACCCTAAGATGAACTCAAAGAAACACATAATACTCATGCTTTCAAAAGACAAAGAGAGAATATTGAAAGTTTCAAGTAAGAGATAGAATAATCACATAGAGAGGATTCTAAACAAGATTATGAAATTTCTCATTAGGAGCTCAGAACTCCAAGATAGTGAGTGTATATACTCAAAGTGCTAAAAGAAAAAAAAAAATCAAACAAAAATCATCTATCCAGGAAAAAACTGTTCTTCCAAAGTTATGGAGAAATTAGGACCTTTCCAGAAATAAAAATGGAGAGAGACTGTGACCACTAGGCTACTGTTGACCCACACCTCCACTGGAGACTCCTGGACACTCACAGACTTTCCTGGGGAAATGAGGTGTGTGTGGCACTGGCCATGCTTTGGAAGAGAGAACCTGGACATGTCTCAGAGAATTTCTGAACTTTTAAGAATATTTTAGGTTATAGCTGTTGAACATGACAACCAATGTAATGAATATTCATTCTCTGCTCTAGAAGTGGGATTTATATTTGACTCCAATATGGCAGAGCAGAAGGACATGCACTCCTCTTTTCCTCTGAGAACTCCAAAACTACAATTCACTGCTGAACAACCATCAACAGGAGAATGTTGGATCCCACCAAAAAAAGATACCCCACATCCAAGTGCAAAGGAGAAACCTAAGTAAGACAATAGGAGGGGTGAAAATGCATTTAGAATCAAACCCCATACCCACCGGAGATGCTCAGAGGGCTAAAACAAAACTTGTGTGCACCAGGATGCAGAGACTTCACAGAGACTGAGCCAGAACTGTTTGAGTGTCTCCTGAGGAGTATGGGGCAGCAGTGGACTGCTGTAGGGGCAGGGGTTCTGGGTGCAGTAGACCTGGGTATGGCATAAGCCCTCTTGGAGGAGGTCGCCATTAACCCACCATAGAGCCTCCAGAACTTACATAGGACTGGGGAAACAGACTCTTGGAGGGCACAAACAGAACCTTGTATGCACCAGGACCCAGGAGGAAGGAGCAGTGACCCCACAAGAG